CGTAAGCCCCTTCCTGAGAAAACTATCATTATGAACACTGTGACCTCGGGGCTCCTGAGGAATGTAGAGCCATCTGTCTCTGGGCTACGTTACCCCAGTCAGCTATACTTGTGTTCTTGTCTGTTCTGTGTAATATTTCTGCCTCTTTGCTGTCGAGCACTTTGCTATCAGAGTATCTGCTTATACCTTGCACCCTCCCTTCTAATCTGCCATATCCTGGGAAAAGAGCAAAGCAAACTTATTAGAACCCCCACTGAAACTGGGAATTAAGGGAAACACAGAAAGATTCTAAATAGATGAATTTTGTTAAACATTTCCCACCACCACCATCATCTGGTTTTTGATGGTGTTTTGGGTGGCTGGGACCTGGGCAGGTAACGTGTTTCCACGGTTAGCGATCCAGGGCTAGGGAGGAAGTTACACTGGAAAGAAAACTAACCTGACTACACCGGCTTCAGTACTAACTAGCAGTGTTCATTCATTTGTTTATTCAACAAAGACACATTGAACATCTACTAGGCGCCAGGCACTGTCCTCGCTGCTGAGGGCATAGCGATGAACAGATTCTTGTAGGAGAGACAGAAAATACAAGACACAGACAAGCAAGACAAGGGCAGAGTGTGAAGTGCTCTGAACACAGCAAATCAGGTGAAGGAGCAGGGAGTGACTTGGGAGGTGGCACTTCATGTGAGAAATTTGGGCAGTGCTCCCGTGGAAGGCAGTATTTGGAGAGGTCAGAGATGGGGGAGGGGCATTCTAGGCAGAGGGAGCATCACGTGTGAGGTCCCTCAGGCAGGAATGGGGTTGGTGCATTCACAGACCTGAGACGCTGGGCAGCTGGAGAAGAGGGACCACAGCCCCAGGGAGACTGACAGCAGATGCAGGTGGAGAAGCAAGCGGGAGAGGATCTGGCAGGGCCAAGAAAGGGGTGTGAATGTTATGTTAAACCCCACTGGTAGGATGTGACATGACTTGATACATTCTGGAAAGGGGCTGGTAGGTCTGCTGGACTGGATGCAAGAGGGATGAGGGATGAAGGGGGGGTCAAGGGATAGAGAAGAATTCATGCTGGCTTCTAGGTTTGGGACCAAGCAACAGGGCTTGGCTGATGGCGCTGTTTGCTGAGAAGGGGAATGTTGGGAGAAGAGCAGTTTTCGAAAGATCAAGAGTACTGGAGATACCAAGTATAAAGTTGTTGCTCGGGGGAGAGGTCAGGGCTGGAAATGTTATGTAAGCCTTGGGATCAGATGACAGGACCTAGGAAGTGACTGTGCACAGGTAAGGGCTAAGCCTGAGGTAGGAGGTTGGGGAGAGGGTACTGGAGAGGGGACAGAGGAAAAAACAAACCTTAAGAACAGAATACTCCCAGGAGTGTTCCATGTGCGGAAGGCTGCTTAGGAGAAGGATAAGATGAGGCAGAGAAGTTTGGCCCCTGGATTTAGCAAGATGAAAGTCACTGGCACCCTGACAAGAGAAGTTTGGGTGCAGGAGTGCGGACAATTAATTTAATTTCTGTGGGGCTATTTCCTCTGTGAAATGCGGGTAACGGAATATATGATATTTGAGGTCCTGTCCACTACCACACTGTACCACTTTTCAGCTGGAATTTAAAAAAAAAAAAAAACATAAAATGGTCAGAGATAAGAAAAATGATAAAAGAAGCAATGCCATTAGGGAGTTTATTAGTCAAAGAGTTGCGTGGTCGTTAATACTCTACATAAAAACTCTGTAAGGTTATTTATGCAAATTTTTAAATTAGCCAAGGAAACTTTAAAATACAACACTGAGTGGCCAGAATTCTTCGCAGATCCAAATTATATACGCTGTACCATCAACACAGTACCAAGAGACTCCCAGCTTACTATCCTGCGAAGACCCTTAAACATTATTTCTAGACACAAGGGAGTAGCCACCTGTCTGGCCGTCTGAGTTCTTAGTCATACTTTGCTCTTTTGCCCACTGTCCTGAATTTTCACACAAGGTTACTGAGTCCTGAAAAATAACCCCAATCCTTGTTTGGCCAAGGGTACCCTATGTATTTCCCTACTGCTGATTGACGGCTCTGTTGCAGCAAAAGAAGCTAGAGACCTTCATACTATTTGTGAACTTTTTTTATTGGTTGAGATAACCTGGCACTAGTGTGGAGACTGGCTCAGGGTGATCTCACAGGAAGGCTGCCCTCAGGGGACCTGGATGTTCTTGTCCTTGCTGCTGGGTCTAAAGCCACCAGAAGAGCCTCCCTAACTCACTTTAGTACAACCTTGGCTGAAGAACTCCAACCAATTTACCAAGAGCCTTTCACCAGGTTCTCGGGGAGACATATGGTTTCCCTCCTCTAGCTGAAAAATGGAAATCCTGAAATGAGGAGGGCGTTCAAGGTGACAGCTAGGTTAAATGAGAGCAGGGAATGGTATCCAAGACTCCCAGCTCCACCTTTTCTTCCTTCCTTCCATGACATTGATTATCAAACAGGAACAAAACCATGACTTACAAATACAGGGGGATCACTTCACAAAAGGAGCGTGAAGCCTCGAGGCAAGGTAAGTAACATTTGTCAGGATCCTGACCCACCCTAAGTCAGCTGTTCTCAATTTTTCAAATATATCACTCACCTGGGGACTTGTTAAAGCCATAGATCCCAGGGTTCACCTGAGCCTTACTGGCCTGTGATTCCTAGAGGGGGCTCCTTGAGTGATTCCAATGCACACTAAAGCTTCAGTACCACTGTACTAAGCAGTTCTTATAGATGCCTTGGAATTCAGTCTTCTGTGTTGTTGGAGGACGGGGCAGGGGCAAGGGAAGGGTTTAGGTCCCAAGGTTAGGTGAAAACAAATTACCCCGGTAAACGCCGTTAAAACACTCATAAGATACAGCACGAATGTTTTCATAGGGGAAGAAAACCCTGCAGTGCAGCATGTAAGTATAATACTTAGAGTAAGACGCATGAGGAATGTGTATGCAAACTGTGTCTCTATACTATTTTAGCTTACAGGAGAAAAGTCAAAATTAAATGCTCCATTATATGACTCAGTGACACAAGAACACCACGAAATATATATTATGTCCGCTCTACAGATGAAGAGGTGGGAGCTCAATCACTTTAAGAGACTTGCCCAAAAGGATCGGCATGTCAGTATCGCACCCAGAATTCAGACTTAGCTCTATTTGCTCCTGAAACTTGTGATCTTTTCTTTTCATTAAGCTTTTTGAGATAACTGTAGATTCACATGTTGTGAGAATGCAATCTTTTCATTTTGATCACACTGCTGTAGGCCAGTTTAAGCATTCCCCTGAAGGGTAAAGTTCAGAAATGCTCCAGAAGGTCTCGGGCCACTGCTATTTTAAACATCTAGTTTAAAAGACAATGTGCTATAAACCATGTATGATTAAAAAAAATTAGAGACCTACCCTATCAGAAGAGTTGGGGACCAAAAATGGCTAATGAGGCTTTAGGCGGTGGTAAGGAGGTAGAGATAGTGCGCTTGGAGTGACATATCCAATCCGAACCATTATCATTATAGGTTATTTAATATCTTTTCATAGTGTCTTCCTACTGCAGTTACCCTCACATCTCCATTTTAATATAAAAGAAAGTCTCAGAAGGAACACACTTGTCAGAATACAGGACAAAGGCCTCGGGCCTCACCTGGACCTCTGCAATGCCGTGGACCTGCAGCTGAGAGAGGGTCCAGGTGCCTACTGACAAGGGGTGCCAGGTGCCTACCCCATGAGTGGTCTGTTCTTGGGCAGCTGAGGCATTACTAGGAGGCCCACGCTATGCTAAGCATTTTGCCTGCATTATTGCATTAAATCCTTTAATCCCTACAAGCCCATATAGGTGGTGCTGCTAGACACTGGGAAACTGTCTTATTTGGTGCTTTGCCGAAAGTCACTGGTTACTCTCTGTACCAGGATAGATTTAAGCACTGTTCGAGGCATCTTACATATATTACCTCTAATCCTCATAATGACCCCGTGAAATAGGTGCCATAATTATGCCATTTTACAGATGTGAAAGCACAAACTAGTTAAATAACTCTCTCTAGTAGGGAGTTAGTGGTGAGCCCAGGAAAGGAATTCAGAGGAGGCTCTGGTCTCAAGCTTTAGCCCGCATCACCTGGAGCGCAGGAAGACACAGACTGCTGGGCCCTGGCCAGAGTTTGATTCCGAGGGCGGTACCTGTGAATTTCCATTTCTGCAAGTTCACAGGTGAGGTCCACGGCAGCTAGCCTGGGAAGCACGCTTTGAGAACCACTGCCCTAGAGTTAGCGGTCTTAATCACTGTGCAACAAATCCTATTGGCCACCGAAGTACATGTGTTTTTAAAAAAAGTCCTCTTGCGAACCATTTGCAAGAATTATTTAAAATAATTCCCAGAATCTCAGTCTTTGTGGAGATTTTACCATAGTTACTCAAACGAGACCCCAATGTGTCCTTTAAGCAGAGCGTTCCACCGTGGAGCGTCTTCTATGCTTGTGTCCCCTCAGCCGAATCCGAAGGCAGGGGCTCTGACCACGTGCGCCGAGACGCGGCGGCCCGGGGTTCTGGGAACCGGGCCTCGTCGGGGCGCAACGACTACGCAAGGACCTGACCACCGGGGCAGCCCCACCTTCAAACGGCCCAGCACCGGGGCACTGGGGCCTCCGGCTCCTCCAGGTTTATTTACACTTTTTTTATTTCCCTCGGTCCACTGTGGAGCAAACGATCTCACACCTTACATCTGCTATCAGCAGTTGAACCAAATTCGGCAAAGTTCTCCGGAAGGGCAAGGGGACAGGCGGCGAAGAGGGAAAGGTCTTTGCAACCAGGAGAGGCGGCGGGAGGCGCGCCCACGCGGATCTCCGCGGCCCTCGGCGGACGCCCGGCCGGGTGGGGTAGGGTAGAGTGGGGCGGGCGGGGGGCGCCCCACGGGGTGGGCGTGGCGTGAGGGGGGGGCGCCCCAGGACGCGGGCGGGGGGCGCCCCAGGACGCGGGCAGCAGTCGCAGCCATCTTGCGCGCCGGGAGCACCTCGCAGGTCCGACGGGCGGGGAGGTCAGGGGCGCGGCCCCGGGACCCCGCCCAGCCGAGGACTCTCGGGAGCGCGGGCCGCGGGCGCACTGCACGGACTCACCGACAGCCGGGAGCGCAGCGGTCCTTTGCAGGCGCCGCGGGTGAGCCGGGCGCTCGGCCGGGGTCGGGGGGCGGAGGGCCCGGGTCGAGGGGTTCGCGCCCCGAGGGGGGACAGCGGCGGGGATTCGACGACAGGTGTGGCTGGGCCGGCCCGGCGGGGGGCTGGGGGAGGAGGTCTGCGCGCGAGCTCCGAGCCGGTGGTCCCCGGGAAGAGCCGGGCTCGCCCCGCCGTCGGCCAGATTGGGGGTCCCCGGGTCCCGGGCTGGTGGGGGTCCCCGTCCGGCCCTTGGCGCTTGGTTCGCTCTTTTGGCCCAAATCAGCGGCAGGTGACGCCGAACCTACCGGTGTGGCCGCCCCTACTGCTCCAGACCTTCCTCTTTCGACTCTGCCCCCTGGGGTGCCCCTCCCGCAGTGCCCGCGGAGCCCGGGCTGCGTGGGCGCGCGTCCTGCCCGCGCCCCTCCCGCCTCGCTCGGCCCGTGGCCCTCTGGCCCCTCCGGGGCGGGGCCCATTTTTTAAAAGCGTTTCTCAAAGGCTTGACGGTTGCGGTTTCAGCCCTGGGCAAACGGTTGCTTCGCAGAGTGAAACTTGGGGTCTGCCGGGCTCCCGGCTGGCTTCCTGGAAGTCCGCGGAGCACCTCGGCGTACCGCCCCGCCCGCTTCCGCGCCCAGCCCGCCGGTCCCCTCCCCCTCCGCCCCCGCCCCGCGCGGCCCGGCCCCCGCCCCCGCAGGGCCCGCCCGGCCCGCCGTAATTGCAGGTTGGGCGGTGGCGCAGCCGGCGCCCGCCCGGCCGGTTCTTAAGCAGCGGCGCGCGGGGCGGGCGCCGAGTGCCGGGCGCGGCGGCGGCGGGCGGCGGGCGGCGGCGGGCTGCTGTGCGCGCTGAAGGGCTTTCCTCTGCCCCAGGTCCGGAGAGCGGTCTCAGCTGCTGCGGCAGAGTCGTGTTTCCAGGGGACTGAGGAAAACCCGTCAGGAACCGAAAATGCCGAAACCAGTAAGTAGCCCGGTGTCGGGGCCGCGCTTTTTTCCAGCGGCGGTACCTGGGCGACGTGTTGGGGCGCTTCTGGGTGGGACGGGGTTCTTCTGTCGGCGGCGAGAGGGCAGGAGGGAGGGAGTCGGCCCCCTGCTTGGTCATTGGTTGGTCCTTTTGTGAAGTCCTGAAGAAAACGACGACTGAGCTGCCTTTCGATCTACGGTCTTTTTGTTTGTGAGCGTCCCCGTCCCCGTCCCCGCCCCAGTAGTTTGTGGTCCTTTGTAAAAGAAAAGTTCTGTCTGCTTGGAAAGTGTCTTCTCCTGCAACTTGAAGTTTCTTAATAAGACAAGTTGTCTAAATGACCGGGGAGTCAGGTGGCTTCCGACGACGCCCGTCAACTCCGAGTCCTTCCATGGGTCGGAACCGAATGCGCCCCAAATTTTCCTCTGATGCTTTGAAGGGCCTCGAGCTTAGGAGGCTCCGGCTTTCTGGCGGGCAGCTCCTTTCCAGCCCGTTTTACGCCAGGCCTGTGAAGCTGTGCTCTGTGAACCCGGGAATTTGCTGGTGGCAGCAGGATTCCTGTCTCTGACCGAGGCTGAGTTGTGGACTTGAACTGCAGATGAAGGCAGGCTGCCCTGCTCTCTGGTCGTGCGCTCCTGGTCCACATCAAAAACACCGGCTGACTCAAGGGCCTCTGTCCCTGACATCTGATTACGTTGCTCTCAGGGTTCGATTGCTGGCCAGGCCTGGGGGGATACGCTTTCATTTAAGTGGTGGGAACAAGGCAGGTTCTTTGTGACCAGCATTTCTTGGAAGGTTGTATATATTGACCTGCTTTGACACAGGTGAACTGTGACTCGATGTTGGGGAGAGGATTTCACATTTTTTAATTGTTCTGAATCCTGATGGAGGAGATACCTGGATTCATTAAAAATTGCAGTAAAAGACACACGGAATTCTAGTTTTTCAAGCAAGTTGGTTGTGCAGTCGACGCTGATTTGCTACCAGTAAATCGTAGATTCTCTAAAAGGAGTTCTTGATTAATCAAGTCTTTACTGTTAGGTTAAATATATTTCTCTGTTAATATGCTGTCAGATTCAGAAGCCAATAGAGTTTTTGCCTAAATTACAAAATTAAGATCATTCATGATGAGAAAATTTTTTTCCTACACAAAATTCTTCTTTTCATTTGAAACTTGCACATGGCACCCAGGCATTTACAATGCCTGTGATAATAAACCTGGTGTAAATGGCAGCCACTCACTCAGGACACACAGCTCTATGCAGCCTTTTGCAGAGCGGCAGTCAGGACATTACTGTAGGTATGGTTTTCTTTCTTTCACTAAAGGAAAGGAAGCAGAGTTCAGCTTTTAAGATACCACCCTGAAAAAAGGCAGTAAACCAGTTTCCATCATTGCTTTTCTTTCTCATTTATCAAAATGAACTGTAATTTATTTTTGTTGTAGTAAAATATACATAACATAATTTACTATCATAACCATTTTGAAGAGTGCAGTTCAGTGGCATTAAGTACATTCACCACCACCACCACCCATCTCTACAACTTTTTCATCTTTTGAAACTGAAACTCTCTACCCATTAAACACTAACCCCCCAGCCCCTGGGATCCACCCTTATACTTCCCGTCGCTACAACTTTGACTATTCTAGGTCCCTCATATAAGTGAATCACACAGTTTGTGTCCTTTTGAGACTGACTCATTTCACTTAGTATAATGTCCTCAAGGTTCATCCATGTTACAGGATGTGTTAGAATTTCCTCACTTTTTAAGGCTCCCTCTTAATTTCGTATGGCAGGTATATTCTAATGGTATGTATAAAGATACATACATTTGAATAGTTGGTGTTTTGGGCTTCTACCTGATCCCTTGAATTCAGCAGGCAAAGTATTCTTGATTGAGGGCACCTGGGTGGCTCAGATGGTTAAGCGTCTGCCTTTGGCTCAGGTCATGATCTCAGGGTCCTGGGATCAAGTCCCGCATCAGGCTCCCTGCTCCTTGGGAGCCTGCTTCTCCCTCTGCCTCTCTCTCTCTCTCATGAATAAATAAATAAAATTTAAAAAAAAAGTATCTTTGATATCTAAACTCTGTCAGTAGACAACTTTATTTATGAAACAGTATGAATGAAATATTTGCTGCTTTTTCTCTTAATACTGCTTCTCAAATCACCACTTGTTAGAGTGAGTGTTCGTTCATTCAGCAAGCATCTGTCCTGCAAGCTGTGTGTGCAAGGCACAGATGGGTGAGACCAAGATTGTCTTTGGGGGGCTTACAGTCTGGAACCCAAGCCAGGACATGTGCAAATGCTTGAAATAGAAGCTGGAACACTGAGTGCCACCAAAGAGGAAAAAAGGCTTAGGTCAAGTGAACACAATTAGAAGGAAAACCATCTGATGGGGAAATGGGTGGACTATTGAGAAGTTACCCTTCAGCTGAGTCTTGCTTGAGGGCTGTGGGTAGGATTTGAGCAGCCTGGGCACTCCAAGGGTGTGTCTGGTTTTGCTTTTTCCACAACTGCTTTGGGGCTCTACTCATGTGTGACTTGTAGACTCCCAAGGAGGATGGTTTGAGGTCCAGAAGACACCACACCCTCTGTTCAGCTGATTGTTTGGTCTTGTGGGTCCTTCTCATCGGGAGAAAGGTGTGGAGGTTTGTCCACGGAGCTGGCTCAGGAAGCAGTCCTTGTGCCTCTGGTTCAGCCAAGGGTGACCTGTGGTCCCCCTTCCTCCTTAACCACCACACTTGCTTGCTTCATTGCGATAGGAAGGAGGCATAGGGTGGTAGAAAGGAAAACCACAGCAGTCAAGCTTAGGAATGATGCAAGGCCAAGCTCTCTCAAATCTTTTCTGAGTTTAGTGCTGAACTGCCTTACGGGGCACTGGCAGATGCCGCAGCTGTTCATTTCTAAAGTTTTGATGTGGAAGTTGCTAATATAAAAGCAGATTTTCCCTTCAATTGGAAAACTGTGAAAGCATGTTCAAAATTCTGCCCTGTGCCAAAATTTTAAGACAATTTCTGAGAATACCTTGCCTCTCTGGGAATATATAGCCTTTTCCACTAATTTTTTTTCTCTTGGGTATATATCAGTGTGGAATAAGTCCTTGTTTCTTAGCTTCTTGTTACAGGTTTCTTGTCAATAAAATGGGGCTGTTGGCAGTACCTAATTCATAATGTTACATGAGACAATGTCCATTAAATATTTTAACAGGCACAGGATTTACTGAATATACTGATACATTTTCCAACCCCCCCCCCCCAATCAATTGAGGAGGACTCATGGGATGTGTTTTCTGTGTATCCCTCCTCCTTTACCATGGGCAGATGGTGAATTAGATAGCTAAGATTTTCCCATGTGGTGGTGAGAAGTGCTGGCTAGGATTAGTCATTTGTCATCATCACATTCTCTATGTAAGGCACAATGAGTCTATTTGTACATTCATCCATTAGTTCAGTGGGCATCTGTGTGTTACTCTGCTAGATGTTGAGGCTACCAAGATGAGCAGACACAGAAATACTCCCTGTCATCATGGATTTACAGTCTGGTGAGGGGGACAGACAGTAATCCTAGAATAACTTGAGTGTATATAATGGTATGTGTGGGGTGGTGGTTGCTGGGGGGAGTGTTAATCAGGAAGGACAGAAAGGCACCCCCAGGAAGCGATGACTGCTCAGAGCAACGCAAGGAATGAAGAGACCTTCCCTAGGTGAAGGAGGGAGGCAAGGAGCATACCAGCCACAGGGAATAACTTGTGCAAAGGTCCTGTGGTGGAAGAGGGTAGGATGAGTTCAGGGTTCCTGATAAGGATGAGTATGGCTAGAGAGAAAAATCAGAGGCCAGCTGTGCAGAGCCAAGTAGGCCCTAAGAGGGCATTTTCAGGACTTAGCTCAGGGGGAAGCACTGAAGGGTTTTGATTGGAAGGAAGTGACCTGATCAGATTTGGCTTTTGAATGGTCACTGCAGCTGCAACATGAGAATCAGTAGGAGGGAGGAGGCGCAGGCCTAGACTATTGGAATAGCCTAGGTGATAGGTGGTAATAGCATGGACCAAGGCAGTGTGATGCAAATGGAGAGAAGTAGATGTTTTGGGGAGCTCTTTGATAGGACTTGGTGATGGATTGGGTGTGTGGGGGCAGAGGGCAATGTAAGGCTGACTTCTGGCTCCTCGCTTGCATAACTGGATGGATGGTAGTGCCATTCACTGAGATAAGGAACCTGGAAAAGGACCAGGTGTGGGAGGGAGGGTTGAGAGTTTGGTTTGTACTGACAAGTTTGTGACTGTCATGGATGAAAGGGGTCCTTGCCTTCTTTCATTATTTATAACTGCTACCTCCTAAAATATATATAAATACCAGTATTCTTCTTAAACTACAGTATTTTTTAAATCCACATAAACGAAAAGTAATCCAACAGCTTCTTACGTTTCTTCTGAGTGTGTTAAAAGTTAAAAGTTAGGATTAATTTAGTACTGTGTTCTCAAACATTGGCATACGTAATTATCTGGAGACAGTACTCCTGAATCCCCATCTCCAGGGCCAGGTAAGACTGGGCACCTGTGCTTTCAGTAAGCTCCCCAGTTGGTTCTTAAGTGCCCCCAGACTTTGGGAACTGCTGATTTCATAAGAAAGGAGCAGTTTGGGGCGCCTGCGTGGCTCAGTCGTTAAGCATCTGCTTTCAGCTCAGGTCATGATCTCAGGGTCCTGGGATCGAGCCCCGCATCAGGCTCCCTGCTCAGCAGGAAGCCTGCTTCTCCCTGTCCCACTCCCCCTGCTTGTGTTTCCTCTCTCGTTGTGTCTTTCTGTCAAATAAATAAATAAAATCTTTAAAAAATAAAAAAGAAAGGAGCAATTTATATATTCTTTCCCTCAGAACCCCAACAATGCAGTGAGGCCCTCCTGATGGGGTTGATACTGGTGGTTGTGTGTGAGCAGAGACCAGAGCCCATGGTGTGTTTAGGGGGCAGCAAAACCCAGTGTTGATTCCAGAGCATCCATTCAGGCGAATG